CAAACTTCCCTCGCGTGGCGCGCGTATTTATTCTACATGTCGGAATTGCTTTTCCTTAAATATACATATTTAAACCATAAGCAGCCGATAACTGCACCATACGATCGGTCTTATGTGACACTCCCCCGTCCACGTCGGAACCGTGGACTTGCGGTCCTCGAGTCGGGTGACTTTCCATGATGAGCCCTCCTCTCAAACGAAGCCTCCCGGCGTTGATTCCTAGCGAGCATCGGCTCCACTCCAACCGGGCGAAACCCGATCACTCGCATCTCCAATGGCGACGGCGATGAGGCGAATTGGATTTCCTCTGCCTGCCATCTCGGTCACTTCTAATGTCTCAGTGTTCTGAACGCTGCGCTCCGTCCAAAAGGCCCGATTCTGCCCGGACTCCCTTGGACTCCCTTGTGCAGTGGTTCTCCGTTCGGTTTCTAGGATGGATCGTGTTCGACAGCGACGTCGCCCCTCTCGAGATAGTCGAAAGACTTTCCACAATTCCCCTTTCGGGGTTTTCCTGTGTCATCTCCGTCGAGTGCGCGAAAGCCTGCGAGATGTACCGCCCGCCGCCTGCGCCAACTGTTGCTACCGGAGTGGGAGCGCCTCTCGCCTGACCAACGACGCCAATATTTCGTCCGGTCGAAAACCCCTCGACGTTTGGGTGAGAATTCAACGAATGCGCCCCGCTATCGATGGGGTCCCTTCGCGCGTCGGACTGCTCGCCGAAATCGCGCCAATCGACTCGAGTCCATCCGAATTCTGATCGAGTCAATGCGTGCCGACCGCGAAACCCGGCGTTCCGCTTCCTCCAACTCACGTCGTGCCACGCCGCCCGATGTGACGAACCCGGTGCCCGTCGTTTCCGCAGACCCGACACCCGTGCCGCCTGAAAGCTCTGGCTCGGCGCGTCGAAGTGAAAGTGTGGGAGAAAGTTGACGAGAAGCTAAGCCTAACAAGACACGCATTCGAAGCTGCGCACAACGACATGAAAAATGATAACAAAAAGCTGAAGACGAGAGTCCTCCAACTAGAAACACGACAGAAAAGGAACTGTGCTGAGATAGCCAACTACCCCATCCTCGCGCAGGATGTTGAAAAATCGACGCCTCGCGATATAGTGAAGAGAGTTCTCGCGAAGACCCAGGCAGCCGTCGCCGAAACGGAGTCTCGGCGACTCTGAAGTCGAATATGAACACGGAGGAATATCTGAATCAAGCTACAAGAGAAGGCTTTCTATCGCTGAACGATACTCAGCCGACTAGAACCACCCATCAATCGAGGAGCCTGATCGACCATGTGTTCTTCAGGAACAAGTACTCATCTGACCACAGACTAGTGATCAAGAGCTCGGAAGGAATCAGTGAACATGATCTGCTGGAAGTCACCTTCGAAATCAAGGGTACGAACGCACAATCGTTGATCCGAATGAAGAAGAGAACGGAATACGAGCGACTCAACAAGACGATCGACCAAACAGAATGGTAATTCGAGGGCAGCGATCTATCGGCGGATGAGATGAGCGAATCAATGTTGAGGAGATGTCAAGACGTAGTCGATGACTGTACGACGTTTACGCGACTCACTGCAAGGTTCCGACCCGTAAGGGAATGGATGTCGCCCGGCATGGTGAGATCAACGCGTAAGAGAGCCAAGATGTACAAAAAGTACAGAAGAGAGAGGACGCTGAGCACTAAAATCATACATATATGAAAGCTACGACAGAATTCTACAGAGACTTCTGAGGAGAGCTAAAAGAGACTACTACGCGAAGAAGATAGAGGAGGCGGCAAACGATTCGAGAAAAACCTGGTCTGTGATAAACTCAATATTCAGAGGGAAGCAAACCGGGCCTGCAGCAGGACCAGAACTCACTGGACTCTCCATCGATGAAATTAATGAGAACTTCGCCGAGCTAGGGGAGAAAACTGTACTAGATAACATTGGGGAAGTGGATCCAAACATGAAGCTGCCGAGTGCATCCGATAACTCAATGAATGAGTTCAAGCATCCTGACGAATCGGAAGTCGAACGGGTGCTAAAAGAGCTGAAAGTGAACAAGGCTCCGGGTTGGGACGGGATAGGTGCAGACATCCTCAAGAACTGCTATCAGTCTCTGAAGGCACCCATCACCTCAAAGGTCTGTAGAATATTCGAGACATCTATCTACCCGACGAGCCTGAAGAGGGCCTTGCTCTTTCCAGTGCACAAGAGTGGAGATCGGACTTACATCTCTAACTATCGACCGATCTCACTCCTTCCAACACTGAACAAAGTAGTAGAGAAGATCATGGCGAATCGACTCAGAGAGTATCAGGAGGAGTTCGGAATCATAGACGAGAGACAATTTGGATTCAGGACTGGCAGAGGTTGTGAGGAAGCGGTATTTGAGTTCACGAAATGTATCTCAGAGTCTATCGAATCAGGAGAATACTGTGTGGCAATATTCTGCGACCTGAGTAAGGCGTTCGACACGCTCGACAGAAGCAGACTGTTGAACAAACTAGATCGAGCTGGCATTCGGGGTAGAGCACTGGACCTCCTGACATCGTACCTCAGCGAGAGGACGCAGATTTATCGATCGGCTAACGTGACTAGCGAAGAGACACTTGTCAAATGTGGAGTGCCACAGGGCAGTGTTCTAGGGCCCCTGCTATTCAATATCTACATGAATGACGTATTTACAACGGCGAGCCCGCACAGAGTAATGGCGTTTGCCGACGATACAGTGCTGGTGATAAGAGACACTAACATGATCTCACTCAGCCTGCCTAGAGGCGGAGATCTGTCTGAGGGAGGTCGCCGAATGGATGGAGATTAATGGCCTAGTTCTTAACTTGGGAAAAACTAAAAGCATGTCGTTCTGTGGCACCAGGAAAAACACAATAAGCCCTGCCCCGATTCGCCTGCACGAACGAGAATGTGGAATTGATGACTGCCACTGCCCGGCATTAGAATTCGTGGACAGATACAAATACCTGGGACTTATAGTCCAAGCCGACCTCAAATCCACCGGACACGTTGAGAAAATTGTATCTAGAGCCAGGTCTGGCGTTGCCATACTCGCAAGACTGAGGGGCTGCTGCTCCATGAAGCTCAAAAAAGCAGTATATCACGCGCTCATTGAATCCCATGTCAACTTCATGTTATCAATCTACGGTGGTACACATAATCAACTGATCGCCAAAATCGAGAGACTCCAAAGAAAAGACCTGCGTTTCATATGTAACTCAAGCTGGGATGCGAGCTGTGCTCCTCTCTACGAAAGAACGAAAATCTCGACTATACAAGAATTGTACGTGAAAAGCCTCGTCCGATTGATGTACTCCCGAATGCCTACTCTAGAGAGACCATCTCACGAGTACCCCACCAGATTCAGTGAAGAACGATGTTTGTCTATCCCCAAACTTAGGAAAGACTTCTCCCGAAGAAGTGCTTTATGGAACTTCATCCGCCTTTACAACAAATTGCCCACTAATCTGAGAAAGCTGTTCGAGAGCCAAACAAACGTAGACAGGAAAAAATGTCAGAAGCAAATCAAAGAGCTAGGCATAACGTTGAAATAAGCTGCCGACGTTCCCCCCCCCCCCTTTTTTAGGTATCGACGAAAACGAGCTCATGTTTTCGGCGCGACTGTTCCACGGGCCCTAGTAGGCCCATCGCAGGCGCCATTTAGTGGTGTATCAAGAGGATGCAAATAAATAACTTTGTCCTGCTTTAAAAAAAAGGACGGTTTCGTTTGTCTGTCGTGCTGGAGTGTAGCTCTGTCACCCGAACCAGCGGCCATTGAGATCTCGGGGCGTTCTCTTCCTTCAAGAGGCAGACCTCTCCTACTTTGAGTGATCGCTCTTTGACCGGTCGCCGTGAGTTTGCCGATCTGAGGTAGGTGAGGTATTCCGAATGGAACCGCTTCCAGAACACCGATAACATTCTCTGCTGGAAGTTCCACCGTTTCGAAAACACGACAGCTCCGATGTCCTTTCGAAGTTTCGGGATTTCTTCCGACTCCGGCAGCTGCGAAGTACCCTCGTACCCGTAGAGAAGATTCGCTGGTGTCAGCGCTCCAACCTCATTCGGATCTGTGGAGACCGCCGTTAACGGTCTCTGGTTGATTATCGCTTCGACTCCGGACAATATGTATAACCTCCAAGTCTCTGAAGTATGGTATATTCGAGCCGAGCGTCTTCTGTAGACATCGCTTCGCGCATCCGACCATTCGTTCTCAGAATCCCCCGACCCACGGAGGTGCTGGCGTGATGAATCTCCATGTCAGCTTGGAGCCGGATAGCCACATCGAGATTTCGCCCTTCACGATACGGGAGTATATGAGCTTAATCTCGAGGTCGGCTCGTCGGAATGATGCGCCATTGTCTGAGATGAAGTTCTGTGCGGACGGAAATCGGTGCAAAAACTTCTGTAGGGCTCGTAGTACCTCGTAAGTTGACAGGTCCGTCGTCAATTGAATATGAACTGCTCGTGATACTGCGCATGTGAACAGCAGCATATATGACTTTGCCGACTTCCCATTCTCCTTTCGGTAGAAGATGGGTCCTGCGAAGTCGACACCGCAGAAGAAGAACGGCGGCGTCCTTCCTACCCTGAACGCCGGTAACGCTGGGGTGGGTTCCATCGCCGGTTTCGCATTGAAACGCTTGCATCCCGGGCACGTTCGGAGAACTTCATGGACTACCTTTCTGGCTTTCAGCAGGAAAAATCTTTCTCTCAATTTCTGCAGCGTGAAAGCGATGCCTCCCCAGTGCCAACACTCTCTGCCGTGAACAGTGAGCGCTTCCAATCTTGCCCATCCATCGTTGTTTGGGACAATAATCGGGAATTTTTCGTCGTAAGTGTGTGTTGAGGATTTTTCTAATCTCGATCGTGCTCTCAGCAGACCATCCTCCCCCACAAAGGGATGGTACTGTGCAATCATGCTGGAGGTCGGGATATTGCGCGGATCGTCGATTTCGGCTCGAAAGTATCTTCCTTGAATTCTCTTTAGGAGATCCTTTTCGGCTCGTTGATATTCGATCGAATCTATCTGGAGCGCGTCGGCGCGTTCGATTCTCGTCGTCGGTCTCCGGTTACCGCTCGGAGGACTTTCCGACTTAATTCTTCGAGCGAACGCTAGGATCCGGTTGCAGTAAGCCTGTGTTCTCACGAATTTGTTCCATGACGAAAACCGGGTTGAATCGAATAAGTTGTCGACCGCGTTGTTCGCTCTGGGCTGGATCGTGTGTAGGCACTGTTGAATCGATGGCTTCTTCTCGATCTCGGTCTCCGTCACCGGCTGGTTGTCCGTCGGTGCTTTCCACCGTGAGTCACACAGCCACGACGGGCCATGGAGCCATCGAGAACGGCTCTCCGAATCTGAGATGTCGGTTCCTCTAGACCAGCGGTTCCCAACCTGGGAGCCGTAGCTCCTAGGGGAGCCGCGGCTCCTAGGGGAGCCGCGGGACTTTTCTGGGGGAGCCGCCGAACCTGGTAGCCGCGGCTCCCCAAGGAGCCGCGAGACTTTTCTTGGGGAGCCGCGGACGAATTTCTGGTGTAGGTCCGGGCCGTCAGGGTTTGTCAATTCCAAGGGATTCAATTCCGAAATGGATCGACTTCATCTGCCACGGTTGTGTTCCCGCCATTCAGCCCAACTCTATCGAGGAGTGAACGAAGCTAAGATAAAATCTCACTCGCTTTCACACCACCGCACGGAGCACCTTTTGTTTCCTTGTGTCTTCCCCGCAGAGAACACTTCATCCACCACTAAGCTTTTTACCGTGAGCTTCGAGAAGCTCAACTCTTCTCTTCCGTCGAGAGAGACTGGATTCATTTGTTAGAGAGCTCTGGTATGCCCGCGAGGCTACCTTCTCCAGCCAGGAGCTGCTCGTCTCCGGAGATTCCCATTCAGTCTCTTTAACGGGGAATTGACGGGAGGGAGGCGGAATATTTGTAAAAAATAGATGTACGTGCAAGTTATTAGTGCCGGAATTGAGC